CGCAGTCTGGCTGCAGCTAGCCCCGACAGGCAGCCAGCGACAAGCAGCACGAACCCGAGCCCAGAGTTTTCCTGTGCCCCCCGACAGCTTTGAGAAGAGCAGACAGACTGCACAGCCTCCCGCAAAGAAACACGGAGGGGCTGCTCTTCCAGCCAAGGTCTCTCCTATCGGACTACAACAGCGATTAAGAAAAGATTTTGCAACAGAAGCCACAGGGTTATCTGCACTGGAAACCTAAGAAATCTGCACGAGCCAGAAGCACCAGTTCTCATCTTTTTTTCTTTTTTCTTTTTTTTTTTATGTTGGGACGCAAAAGGAGCCAGGAAACAGCACACTGATACTTTGCAGCACGGCGTTCCCCTGCTCTCCAGTCAAGGTTGGGTTGCATCAGACAACGGGTTGCCAGATTCTCCCATTATTTTGCTGCTTTAAATCCTTTAAAAACTTTACAACTACTATTTACCAGCTGATACACGTAAAGCCCTGTTTCTATTAAAGCCGACCCACGCAAACACTGGGTCCAGTGAGGTGATTTGCATGACAGCAGGATGGTGGCTTTTAGTTTGCAGCAGTTACAGAATCACCAGGAAAATTTGAACGGTGTATTGTGAACTTTACTTTGAAAAGTAAAAAATACCTACTTTAGGCTCAACCGGTTCTAGGAACTCGATCTGAAATTCGTAGATGTTGTCACCTTTGGCACCATGACCCTGAGCTAAAAGACAAGAATTAACTGTCAGTGTGCAAAGGACGCTTTATACAGAGAAATATTCAGCAGTTATTTACGGTGCTTCCCCCTGTCTTGCTGGGAGGCAAGAGGAAACCACACAGTAACAGGGAAGACACAAAACAGCCCAAAATATTGCTTGAAAGTGCAGTCGCTGGTGTCAGCAGCTAAAGCTGCTGTGACTCTGCGTAGCGCTGGAAAAGGGCCCTCGCTTGCAGGAAGGCAACGCGTGAGCTTCCAAAAAAGAGGGGCCCAACAGGTTGCTCGCGGCTAGCTTGAATCCGACTGGAAATCCCCTGTGCCGGACGGGCTTTGGGGGATCCAGCCTCCGCACCGGCGAGCGAGCACCCGAGGAGGCCGGTCTCTGGTGGGTCCACAGCAGCTCGACACGGGGAGCCCCCTCCCTGCGGCTGGAGGGCGCGTTCATCTCTCATCTCCCGCAAAGGTGGGTTTTGTCCCTGGACAGGCTCCGAAAACCGGCATGCCGAGTTTAATTTCCACCTTTCCAGACCGTAAATTGATCCCGAAGCGAACGCGATGTGCAACAACACCCGATCAAATGGTCCCGGCTGCGGCTCAGCAGGGAGGCAGCGTTTCCTACACAACCCATCTTAAAGAAAACCACCAAAGAAATGAGAAAATCCAAATAAAATCAGCTACAGCATCTCCTCAACGCTGCCCGGACAAGCCAACCAGCACAAGCTCCGCGGTGCTGCAAGGTGCAGCTGCTCAGCTGAAACGAACCCACCTTTTAGGAAAAGATCTGCTTTACCTTTCAAATCGAGCGCTAGCTCCGATGCGGAGCTTTGATAACGGTTACAAACCAGGTCTTTGTGAAAGGGAAAATTGGGGCCGGTTATCTCCGGGGTTGACACAGGATAGCAAAGCCGTATGGAAATTTCGCTGATATTTAAATACGGGGAGGTTGCGGGGAGGGTTTAGCAGATAAGATACAACCCGCTATCGTTACTAGCGCTGCAATACAACCATTTGTAGATGGGTGCGTGGCATCTACGCGCCCGGCACCCTGCACGG